TAGTTATTACTGATATGGCAAATAACATCTTTTGTCAATGTCACTCTGATAACATTTATTTGAAATTAATTTAAAATTTGTTAATTAAGATGTTCATTTGTAATGCTGAATTCTGGGGGAGGTCTGGTACCTAGTAAGGAAAGGAGACAATTTTGGAACTAAAACTATGGGGCAGATTACTTGCTTCTGTCCTGAATTTAGACTTGCTGATATTTTGAAAGAAAATAAATATCTTCTCTTTGAAATAGACTTCAGTCTCCTATAAAAATAAACTGGGTTTGGAGATATCTCTGATAGATTTGCTATGTACAGCTCCCTTCTTATTGTCTTAAACCTTACTTCTGTCCTCTGTCACCATCATTGCAATACTTGGGGAAAATCTGTGATGTGTTTTGCACTATTCTCTTCAACTCAATGAATTGTGTTCTCCCCATGCTGCTTGACCCCAGCTGCTTGTTTGTCCTTCCATTGCATCCTGTCTGCAGGCTTCCTGGGGAACCTTTCTTCTCAGTTGTGGTTTTACTATGCTAACTCTGATCATGGACTGAAAAGCTATCTTGATACAAGGGGAAGAAAAAAAGACAATATAAAAATCCTGTCACAATAAGCCATGTGTTTACTGCAGATTCTAATGATTTTTCCCTTTGTTTTTATTTTTGTGCAGATTGTTTCTCAGAGGAAACTCTCCAAGTCCTTACTCAAACATGGCAACACAGCAGGAAAGTCATCAATAACAGTAAGTCAGTCTTAAATACACTCTTGTCTTCCTGTTATTTAGAAATATTAAGTGTGACTAATTCTCCCTAAGAGCATCCTGCTAGGTCACCAGAACAACCCTTGATTGAAGAAATGTATTTAAATTGTTTATTAGATTACTTGTACTGTTTCTGACAAAGGCTTGCTGTAAGGAAATGGCAACAAATCATGTATGCTTTGTACAAAAGCCACAATATTTACTACTACTACTTTTAAGGTACTTGGATGGTAGCAAGAAACTTGTGTTGATTGAACACTTTTAGTTAAAGGACTAGAACCTTCAGAAATTCATTTGACCTGCTTTGACACATGAAGGAGTCTCATATTTCTTTTCCCTCAGGCTTTTTCCAGTTTCTTAGGGAAAAAAAATCCTCAGAAAGCACAGACACTGACCCAGAAACTCCAAACGAAGAAGTCTGATGAGATTAGTTTTAGCTGTGTTGTAATGCAAGTGTGGACCAGATAGTTATAGCCCTATGTGTATCTTGAAGTCTGCAAATCAGTGTATTGCTTCTCTTTCATCTCTCTTTTGCTGGCTTCTTTGGGAGATCAAGCTGGACTGCATCCTTGTGGCATTTGCAGCTCTGCATTAAGACCAAGGCTATAATAAAATATTCTGCCTTGGGGATCTCTCTTGTCTCATGGGGTTGAGAAGGATCTTTTTCCTTGATGTGCAATTATCCAGATGGATTTCTTTTGATTGTCTGGATTCTTTTTCTGCCTTCAGCAATAGAAGAGACAGCAGATTGTTAGGAATATTGCTTTCTGAGAGCCCAGGAAATTTGATTTCTTAGATGTCTTCCTTGGTGCTTGGCTGGGGATGGATTTGCTTAAATGCAGTAAACTAATTTTTGATTTGGGGTTGAAAAGGAATTCCCCACTCATCTCACTGAATAGAACCAGGAGTGAGTTTTCCTGCCTAAATAACTTGGTGTGATTTGCCTGCTGGGATTATCTGGGTATACTTCTCGTCCATCCCTGGTGTTCTGGAGCCCCATCCTGTTATTTGAGGAATGCAGAGGAGTTTAGTCTTGTGAAAACACAAATGCTCTAGTACAACTAAAATCATTAGGCTTTTAGTGGAGTGTTCTGGCAAAAATTAAATCGCTGTGATAAACACAAGATGAGAGAAAATGAGTTAATAGTCCCTTCTGGCCTAACAATGGATGATAACCATGAAATATGGACCTTAGTTACATGCTTTGGCTTCTGGCCTGTAGTATTAAAGAGCAAACTGACTTCACTAGAAAGGGAGAAAACTGAATCCAGACAAAAAATATGGCGTGAAAAGTTTGCTGTCTCAACAGAATAAGTTAAAACAGGTTATTTTTCATTATTTCTGGACCTGGGAACATACCAGGTGTCTGTTAAGTATGGAAGTTACAAATACTAATTTCCCAACTTGTTCAGCAGACTGAATGATGAGGTTTTCATAGGATTTTGAAAGTTTCTGTCTTGGCATGTTTTGCTAGAATTTTATTAGCCCTTTGACTGTGTAACATCTCATCCACATAATTTTATAATATGGCTGTGGAATGCAAACAGAACACTGTTCAGCTTCTCCAGTTGGAAGTCTGTCAACCTTTGTAAGAGCAGGTTCACTATTTTCAGGTAAAAATATTTGTGAAACTTGGTGTGGAAATCCAAGAGCACTGTTGGCCATGTACAACTTAACCAGATCTTTTAAATCATACTACATGGCAGAGGAATATGTCAAACTCTATAGGCCAAATTTCCAGCAAGCTCATGTTTGCCTGGTAAATGTGGCACACCACATATATGCCTGTGTTCTGGTACTTTAATGCACAGTTAAGCATCTGTGCCACTATGTGGTCACATGTGAATATTTTGCATGGAGAAACATCACAGCTCTCTGCTGTGAGGTGTCCCAGGCAGAATAGTCTCAACTCAAGGAATCTTACTTGATTTAATTAATTGCTAAAAAAAAAACTCCTAAGGAAAATACCCGAGAACCTTGAGTCCTTGTGGTGGAGACAGAGCCTGGCTGTGGTGCTGACGTATCTGCCAAGTGTGTGACTCTGGACATGAAACACCCAGGAAATAGGTTCTTTTGGGTGATTTAATCTCTGGGGAATAAATTTATAACAGGGAAAGGTTTTCTAGCTGTCAAATAGAATATAATGTGGTTAGTTTCAAAGAACATTATTTCAGTTAAATATCCCAGGTTTAGTCAATACCTTCTCTCCCCTGAAACATTTTAATGGCTTACTCAGGAAAGGTGGTTTGGTTGTTTTTGCTGGGGTTTTTTATAACATTGCACAGCACATTGACTGGCATCATTATCAGCATAGCTTGTATTATCTGAAAGAATCACACTATATTATTTTAGTATTACTTTCTTCTGACTCAATCTACAGTAAATGGTTTTGCCAATGTAGCTATTGCACAAAAACTATACCACGAGAACTCTCCTACTGTAAATGTGACCTTCATGGCAACTAATGACAGGTGACTTCACTCCTTTTTCCATTTAGCTCGCTAAATGATGCTGAAGCAGCATAAAAATAATTGGGTTTTAGACCCAAATAATACAACTCTTGTAGAGCATTTTTGCCCCCTTGGACACTGTGAGACTGTGGAATTCTCCATTGTTCCATCTGAGAAGTACTTTCAGAGGAAAGGTATCCCTGATGGATGTTGACTTCTGTCCATTGACATGTGATTGACAAGGCTGCATGACACAAAGATTTGTGGGCTTAAAACGGTGACATCCATCAGTTGAGCAGGTGATTCACTGAGTGCTCTCAGCCCTTCCTGATGGGACATATTAACTTGTACCACACTTCAGTTTCCTAAATGGGGTCTACAGTGTTCACACTGGAAAATGGTATCAATCTCCCCTTTCATTACACCATGCAAAACTCAAATGTAGCTTTCCATTTAGGTGATCGCTGAGGAATTGTCTGGCAATGATGACTACGTTGAACTTTCATTCAGTGCACGGAAATTGGATGACAAGGTAAGCCTGATATTAACCTTACTGAAAGATATAAGAATGCTTGCAAATATAATTTGATGAGATTTTCCCTGACAGATAGTTTTTCCCTTATGTTATTAAACACATCAGGGTTTTCAGACAAGTGTTCACAATGAGGCATTCCTCAAGTTGCAAAGTAATTAAAAAAAAATAATTCCAGGGAATCTAATTAAAACCAAGACAAGTTAATTACACTACAACCAAGACAGTTTAATTATGTAAAATGCCACAGATCAGAAATGCTTAGAGAAGTGAACTTTCTGTAAGTAGTCAAAGATGTTATTGTTAAAGTGTCCTAAAATGAAGCTTGAAAACTTCATAACAGCTCAGTCATGATATACATCTTGTTCAACAAAATGTAGCTTGAATATGAGAAAAAGACTTTTGCCTATTTGTTAAAAACTCTTCTCCTTTTTAATAAGAAGACTCTTCACTGGCTCAAACACTACTCATCATTATAAGGAATACCTCTTTCTGAAAATATCTGTTGTTGTTTAGCAATTTATTTTTAATAAGCATCTCAAGCAACCCACAGCCCAAGAAATCCAGGTGGCTCCTTGTAAGCTTACACTCTGTTATATCAATGTAATAGCAGACAGAAAAATAAATGAAGTGTACTAGTCCCTTCTCATATACGGAGGTGCTTCTAACTAGAAGCATATGTTAACACTATACAGAAATTCAGGATTGTGATGCTCCAAGTTTGACATATGTAAACATTTGATATATGAGTAGCTTAAGATCAAATCAGTGAGACTACTTTTGTATATATGGATCTGATTTTCAAAGTTTATAGCTGATGAAAAATATTTTTAGTTGAAACTGCCAGAAAATCTCAGGCAAGCAGAAAGTACAGAAAAATATGAATAGTACTGGAATTTATTTAGAACATACAGTTAAATAACTTTACTGTGCTCAGGATCATTAACTGTCATAAATGATCAGGACCTGAATTTTCTTGTCATCTGAAAGATGAATTAGCACCTTTTTTCAGAGTTGCTGGAGTCTTAGTGTTTCTGAATTGCATAATTCATTTAGATGTCAAAATGTAGATTTACCAATCTCTCTTTAGACAGATAACTTTAGAGGTGATTTCCAAAATTGTACACAAGTTTCTTTCTCTTCTACATGCTGTCACATCTAGAAAAAATGGAAAGGACATACACAACTTAATAAGACTCCACTTGGTCATTGCTCTTCCACAAATGTAAAATTCAGTCTGCTTTAAATATAATGACTGCTTAAGCATCTTGTTGGTATAAATTAAAAGGATACTGCCAGAGTGCAATTCTGAGTCAGGGCAATGTTATCTGGGCAATGGCTTTAGTGAGTGAATGGAATACTTTATAGGGATAAATTGAGAAGGATCATTCTGAAATACTGCAACAATATTGTCATTTTTGGCCTTTTAACATGTCCAGTTGAGGTGGGCTTCATGTAATAAAAAATTCCTGGGTGATGCAATCTGCAACTCAAGCAATGACTCATTGTGTGCTATCTGAATCAAAACTCTCATCTTCAACTGATGAAAATCACTGGAAGCCTATTGCAGTTGAAAGAAGTCTCAATTTCCTCCAGCTGGAGACATGGCTCTAAACCTGGGTGAACCTTGTCTTACCTCATTTACAAGAAAAGTGTATGGCTTTTTGTATGGCTTATAATGAACTTTGACATCAGTAGATACATGGCACTATTCATAATTACTGTTATTAAGGTTTGAAATTACTTAAATTGAAAGTTCAGCTGTTGGTGAAAAAAAAGAGTGCTCAGATGTCACATATAGGTTAAAAAAACTCTAAGAATTGAGAAGAGCTCAAAGAATTTTGAGAAGAGCCCAAGCATGGTTTTGCATACCTCTCCCTACTCAGTGAAGTCAACACCTGAGTAGAGATGTAATCTCAGAGAAACAAACTGAAGGCTGTAACTGGCCTTGGAGTCTCCTGAAAAACAAAGGAAACCTCTGGAAGCAGTCGTTCATGCTCTGCTACAGGGTCACCTTTGTAAACCATGGGGTTCCTGAGCTGGTAACTGTGGGATTGGCAGCAGACAAGGAGAATCCTAATGTCTCACAACTTGTGGGTAAAGGAAGGGGTGGGGGAAGGTGGTGTATGTGCTTTCAGGATTTTAAAAACAGATACATACTTTCCATCCATTTCCATCAGTGGTATCTTGAATGGACCAGAATTTTCTTCCTCCATCCTTTAAAGAGCTCCTTGAAAGAGGATCCAGGTTGTGGTCCTTAAACATGTGCATTTCCTCTACTAAGGAAAAAGAGGTGAACAATAGATTTTTGAAAGATTAAACTAAATTTGTTGAAATAATTGAACAGGCAGGATATGTTTGTTGCAGGTTTTTAACTCCCTCCACGTAAAACTGCAATAATTTTAGAGACGCCACAAACCAAGTAAAGCCTACTCAAATTTTCCTAAAGGGGTGGCTGGAACAGTCAGTGAAAAATTATAGGAAAGTGACAGGTATACCAGTTTCCTTTAATTACCTGACTTTGCAGAGATAAAGGTTATATTTTTTTATTGCGGTGCTTGTTTGGAAGGTATAACTGCATTTTCATGTTTTATTGAAGCCCTGTCAGCTCAGATGGCAAATCTTTGTTTCAAGCGATCCACTGAGAACACTTCACAGTGGAACAATAACTTTTGGAAAGGTTTTATTGAATTAATAGCTGTGTCACAATTACCATAACAAGCAGCTACGTTTTTATGATAGCTATAATGAATTACGAGCACTGAGGCAGGCAAACTGCTTTTCCTGTTCTGAGAGGCAGTTACCATTGTTTGGGAAATGTCTGCAAAATGCAAGCTAATATTGCTTTTTTACATAGTTCCTTGTGTTAAACTACTACCAAAAAAGTCCTCAAATTCCCTGTCTTGCTTCTGAATAATTTTCAAAATTGTAGTCTTTTGGCTACTTCAGCCCTTTTCTGAGGGACCTTTGGCTTGAAAATAAACCAGCTAAAAGATGTGTCAAACTGAATGCTTAGAAATGGAGGTGGAAAAATTTTAAAAATTTAGGCCATGTACTTGTGTTATTACTATGTAACTGCTGTACATACTGAAGGAACGATGTGCATTATACCACTAGCAAATGCATTGCATTAATCCTTTAAATATTATTAAAATAGCACATTATATTGCTGCTATTCTTCTTTCAAAGTATATCCTTGTGAGATAACACAAAGCCGTTACATTCAGCATAACAAATAACAAGCTTTCAAAATGTTAATAGCTATGAAAGCAAATGTTTTTTCAGCTTATAAGTTTTTGCTAATTAGAAAGCATCTTGAATATAGAAGGATTTTCTGTTTGTACCTTAATTCTGAAAGGAATTAGGCTTTTGCACTGAAGGCAGAGTGATCTAAGCCATTGTCCAGCATCAAAATCTTTCCCTTTATGTGATATTGCCTTGGTAGTTAGAACCACATATTAAAAATTGCTTCTCTTGTGCTTTATGGCTGCTTCATCTTCATGAAACTCAGCTAGGAATGATACTATATTTTGAGTCTTGCATGAAATTTTGGTTTCCTTTCTGAATTCTTCTGCACTCCAGGGTACACTCTTTGGATGTATCATTTTGAGGTGTTTTCTTCAAGTAACTTACCAAATTTGTGTTTGGTGAAGAAACTGTTAACATTAAGCTCCAATCAGTCTGCTTATGTGTGAGAAGAGGCAGCTCAATCTTTTTTAACCTTACGCACACTGGATTTTGGTGTCACTATGATTAAACCAACATCCTCTCTCTCTGCTTGTTCTCTTTGCTATGCACCAGTAATCCGATCACCAAACCCCCCTATAAACTTGCAGTTTCAAGTGCTGAGTGGAGTCCAGATACTAAATCTACATCAGGACCTTGAGGGAGACTGTGGAGTTACAGACTTTGTTGGGTTTTGTCCTGGTTCTACACACTTATACATGAAATGTCCTGTTTACCATGTAATTGGAACAAAGAGGCAAACATGGCTTTGTTGTTTCGTGTTCCCCATGATAAGATTTAACAAATACATTTGCACATGCTTTGCATCAGTTTCTGAATGTGCCGTTATTTTTTCTGTAGGAGGAAAAGAAACATGATTTACAAAACAGCACTCTGAACACAATATTTTGTCACTTTTAGGACATGGACAAGACTGTAGGTTGCTTGAGCCTTGCCCAAGCCTTCATGGTCCCTAGGGACTCACTTCTTTCTCTAGACATTCCAATGCAGGTGTCCCTTTTCAAAGTCCTGATTTCTTTGTTGTGGAATTGTAAAAATGCCCCAAAGATAAATTTTACCAAAATGATATGTCCAGATTTTGGCTAGCATATTATCCAAAGCTGTTCCCATCCCAATGGCTGTTTGACTGGTCAAAAATAAGTATGGTGGACATTTCATGAGGAGAAATTTGCAGAAATATACATGTTACAGTAATTTTTGCACTAATACTTTTATAGAAACACCTGGGAACCAAACAGAATTTCTCACTTCCCCAAACTGATATGAAGGTCTGTGGTTTTGAATACGGCCTAGAGAGAAAAATAATATTCATATGCACACAGTTAATAATGTGGCTCTTTTGAAGAAGAAAATGAGGAAAGGGACTTGAAACTACAGAAAATGGGCTCTGTCTGTTTAAATCCTGCCCTTGCAGCCTTGCAGAGTTAGAAATATGAAGCTTACTACCTCCAGCTGTGGAGGATACTCCTCTGCCCCCACAGCCAGCATGCCCCGAATAAATGAGATGTGGAAACAAAAGAGGCTGTGGCCAAACTGTAGCTACACTATAGAAAGCAACTTAATTTAGGTTTGTGTAAGAACCTTTAGGGTTGTTAGCTGAATGCAAGACTAGGGGAAGGTGTTCTGCAGTGCAGTGAGTATGTGAACCTCAGTGTCCGTCAGAGAATTGCTTGTACGTAGAGATATCAAGTAATTTCCTGCATTCCCCTACTTTGTCATCTTAGTATGGGCCATGTTACCACATCCTAAAGAGGATTTGCTTCTCTAACCATCTCTAATCCATCTTGACAGTACTTGTGTTAGTTGGTAGCCGCACAATGTCTTGGTCAATTAGTTTCTGTTTTGAGAGGGTGGGTGAACAGTGTGAAATTCAGCCCCACTGTAGAATACACCTCAAAGCACAATGCATGATAAAACAGATGTCAAAAGACCAAACAGGTGTGGAGAAAGAAAGAAATGAGCTAAGTGGATGAAGGTGCTGAAGCTCACGAATCTGGATTGGGTATAAGGAAATAAGATGTAAAACAGTTCTGCATTACACGATTAAATAGTTGTCCTGCATGCCATGATTCAATAGTCAAACTGAGAGCAACTACAGCGCACAGAAATCCTTGTGGGACAAGGACAAGAATGAAATATTGCTCGGCGACACCAAGAGGTCTCACTAAAACCAGGCTGACTCTCCTTTTTCATTAGCAGCCAGGGAAGCACCAGTGCATTGTGCCTGAAAAGCTCAAAGGAAAAAGAGTAACTCGTCCTCTATTTTATTTTAGGATTTTTTCAGCAAATCCGATCCTTTTCTGGAGATTTTTCGTGTGAATGATGATGCAACCCAACAACTTGTTCACAGAACTGAGGTAAGGAATAGAGTTGGATTTGTTTTCCAAGGACACAGATGGGCTGTCAGGAGAAATTATTTATGCTTTCCATGTCACAAAGGGTATTGCAAACACCCACATTCAAAAACACTACCTAGTGTTCCATGCTAGTGTAATTGTTAACTAATGGGTATCAGGTCTTGACTTATGCACCTTACAGTAATGAAGATAGTACTGAAGCCAAAATTCCACATTTAATTAAGATGGCATATATTCTGTTTGAAGTTCAGGAATTATAGATATTATATTTAGCTGAAACCATGCTACAGACGGTATCATTTTTTTTCCATTAATACTATGCTGCACCTTCTCCACCTCCTCCCAGGCTGCTGGTGCTAAAGAGATTTGTAATCTGGTTGCTTTCCATTTGTTTCTTAAGTCCCAGAGACATTACTGCTTCTGTGGTAATGACTGGCACTGTTTTAAACAGGAGCATTTAAGTATACAGGGTGAAGCTGTGGAGGTATTTTGGGTTATAAGCCTTTTATGGATTCCATAAAGTCTTTCTAGCACAGCAAACCATGTGTCTCTAAATTGATGTTGCCCATGCACATTGCCCAGGCCTGCATCTGTTCTACAGCTTCCAGTTCAGTTCTACAACCTTTTCCTTGTATGTTATGCTCCTGCTGAGCCATGGCAGTCCTGGGGTAATCTCTGTAGCATGACCTGTGGATGGGTCCATTTCCCACCTGTGCTCCTTTTTGAGGCTTTCCACAGGAGGAATGTTGCAAACTGCAGGTTGCTCGAGGGCACATATCCCATGCCTGTTGTTCTGAAAACTCCACATGAGGTCTGCTTTCATCTCTTTCTGTTCAATGTATTGTTTTTAGCATTCTGTTTGGAGATATGGAAATGTTAAGGGTTCCCTCTTTTTTATTCACTCACAGGTTGTGATGAATAACTTAAATCCAGCATGGAAGACCTTTAAAGTGTCTGTAAATTCTCTGTGCAGTGGAGATCAGGACCGCAAGCTAAAGGTCAGGAGTTATTCCAACTTTTTGAGTAGTTTTACTCATAGAAAACTAAGTTTCTCTCCCTTTTTCAACTGTAGATTGCTATTCTGCACTTTCCCTCTTTGATGGAAAAGATGATCACACAGCTGCTTTATGATTACCATAATCAAATTAAGGATGCAGAGAAGTGGTAATCCACTGTAATCAGTAGATTATGCTCTATATTTCTTGCAGTAACCTCAAAAAAATGATGGTGCTGTTTTTCCCAATCAGTTGGATAATTTGAATCCAGCATCATTTAACCGGTGAAAATGTACATAAGGGAAGTGGCAGTCCTACTACAATTTTAACTACTGTTTCCTTACCTTCTGTAAAAGAAACACTGAATTATGAGAGCTGTCATTATATTTGAAGAATAGGGCAACCACAAAAATATATATGCCAGAGTAATGCAAGTGGTACTAGTCAGCAGAAAGACTGATGGTTGGAAACTCAGAGCTTTGTGTAGAAAAAAATCATCTTCTTTTGGCTAATTTGTGTTAAATAAAGACTGTGTCCAATTGTTCGTATCTTCTGAACAGGCTTAAGGTTTATACTAAGTTAAAAAACATCAAACAAAGAGCACTAGTCCCCAGTGTCTATTCAGCCTGTTGTAAGGACATTGGACTCAAAAGTCTGGCACTTCTTTTTTCTTACTATACGAAATTATCTAATAGAATTTTCTTCTCCCTGAAAACATTTCTTCCTTCATCATTATAACTGCACAACCCTGGCAGAAGAGGCATTGTCATTTTTCACTCATTAGATACTGCAAGTTGTGCTGTGCAGGGAGAAAAAATAAAATGCTGGTGTGGATATTTTACAATGCATGCCACAAATGAGTGCACGAAAGCATATAAAGGAGCCTTATTCATGCTTGGATTTTGATTTATAACTTCACAAAATTAGCCCTGTTATTATGGAACAACAGTGGTACTGACATGGTGCTTGTATGTATATGTTTGTGTGCTATTGAGGATGCATGAGGAAGACATAGGTATAAATGTTTATGTATAGTTTGTGTCCCCTGTTGCCCTGTGGCACTGTTGGGCAAACAAGATGAGTCCAAGGGGAAAAGACATAGCAAAAGAGTGAGGAAGTTTGAGAAAGCAATGACAGATGTAGTGAGGAGAAGTGAAGGATGAAGTAGATTAAGCACAGGATACTTGGGACGCGAGACCAGGTTTTTTTGTGACAGATGCCTCTGAGATGTAGGAAGGAAGCTCAGCATCTTGGCTGGTACAGGGAAGCAGTTGTGAAAGATCTTTCTATCTACCCCTTAGCTGGTAAATGGTCAAGCCATTTGTGTTTGTCATGCTCAGTGGGGTTTAAATAGGATTGTAGGAGATGAAATAGAGAATAAGGTGTAGAGAAAAAACACCCTCCATTTTAAGCAAGAAAACAATATTGGCTAAAGAGGATTTCTAGTGCAAGTGAAGAAATGTAGTTATTTATTGTAGCATGTGTAGGATGACAGCAATGTGAGGTGGCAGAGTAAGGATTTTGTTATTGGAAGGTTGCCATTTTATAGACTTCCTGGGTAGATGAAATACCTATAAGTTAGCTGCCCAAAACACAGAAGATAAGCAGATTACTCTGTGTTCTATAGGCAATTTAGAGCTCCAGGAAAGGAAAAGGAGTGGGGAGGGGGGAAAAGCAGCTACCCTCCGGGGGTGGTAATATGACTAACACAAAGGATGGTCAAGGCTAAAGATGAGTAGCATGGCTGGTGATTCCATTGGCACCTCTGATGCCCTGACTGCTACTTCATGACAAAAGGGAAGCACTGGGAAAGCATAGATGGTGCATTTTCAGCCAATGAACTTGCATCACAGTTCAGGCAGGGCTGGGAGCTGAGATTTTACATTTGAATGGAGTGAACTATGAAAGGTTTGGAAAGGGAAGGTGAGCAGTTCTTGGATGTATTAGAGAAGAGCAGGCCACTGGTGAGATATATAGACAGAAGTGATATGGTTAAAGCAGGTGGGAGTGCTGTAGCTGCTGCAGCATTATGCTAAGGTCAAAGGCAGCAACGCCAAAGGGGCCAATGTCAGAGAACACAGTATACTCAAAATATGAGATGCTGAGAGGCTGAAGAAGAGATATAATGTGACAGATTACCTGGGTTATGCAGCTTCTCTAAGGGTGCATCTTTCACAACCAGAAGATTGTACCCTGCCTCCTCCTTGTCACAAGGTCCCAAATCATCTAATCCAGTTTACATCTTGCAGTCACTTGGAGCAGTCAGTTGTGCCTGGCCTTCTAGGATCTGCTTCTTGAGGCAGCTTAAGTTGAAATGAGTAACATCCCGCAGTAATGTGACTCTACAGGTCTGAGATGAGACGGATCAGATTTCTGCCACTGAAATGAAAAGCAGAATCAGCACAGCACTGCCTTCACCACATTGTGTAGATGTGGCCTTTAAATCACTTAGATGAGAAAACCTAGGAAAAGAAGCAAACAAAATGTGAACCATAGAATGTCAGAGTAAGTGGCACTTCTCCATAAGTGTAGAGAAATGTGGTTCTGCAGGGAGAAATGTACTTTATTCTCTTTGAAACTGAAGTAAGAAGGTATGAGAAAGGCTGAGATTTCAGCTTGGGCAGAAGAAAATGGGTCTGGGAATAAAGGTGGTCTTTGAGCTATGAGCATAGAGACAATAGTCAAAATTATTTGCAGATGGTACTGCCAAAAGAGAGGCTGAAAAAGGAACAAGAATAGTCCTTTATGGCTTCCTGCAGAAAAGATTAGGAGGAAGTCAGTGGCTGAAGAAGAAAACCAGGGCAAGATGGATCTTATGATAGTATTTTTTTCTTCTTTTTCCTCATGTTTTTATTTGTGTATGCAAATGTTTCCAGGCCCTGATTTCAATATCTGAGTATTTGCTTAAGGCTGCAGTTCATTTCCAGAAAAGCTAAAAGTACTAAGATTTGCAACAGATCATTCATGAGTACAGAAATATTTTAAAATTAATTATGGCTCTAAAATAAGAAAAAAGCTTGAAACTTATTTCAAATTCAGACCCTTTATAACTTTTGGTGGGTGTAAGATATGGCTATTTGGTAGAGCAGCCCCCAAAATCACTTGTATTTGACATGTAGCGTATAGAATTTGTCAAATGACTATTTGCTTCTTTTCTATATGGTCTATAACCTAGGAGTTTGATGGCAGCAAGGACAGCAGAGTGGAAATCAGAATTAGAGATGAAGTTTCTGTGGCTGGTACAGCACTGTGTGAATGTTTAAACTTTGATTTACATTGCATAAGCAGTTCACTCTACCTACCATATTTTGGAACATTTGAGTTTAGTTGCTTTGTTTCACTTCATAAAGTTTATAGCAATATGTTACTGCTAAGTGTTGGAAGAATTCTCTGTGCCATATTTAATGTGGGGGAGATTTAGTGTATTCCAGCTGCTGCGCTGAGCATCACTTTCTTGCCAGGATTGCTTGATCACTATGAACAGTAATTGCATAAGACTGGGTAGTTTGCTATCTGTACCTGCTGGTTTTTATGTAGTCTGGAAGGCATAATCTAAGTTAAGGCTTTAAGAAGCATCAGAAATTCTTGGAGGAAAACATCAACTTGTGGAAAGTCTTCAAGACTTCTTAACAGCAGGCATGCTGCAACTGTCACCAACTTTGGCTTGCCTCTGTAGGGTATTTGGAGCTTTGAAGTCTTGGCCCTTCATCTCTGGCGCTGAAATCACATGGGTACTGATCTTAGTGATCAGATTTGTGTTATGAAGAATGGGAATTAACATGGAAAAAGGACACTAAACTCAGTTCAACTTGCAGAAGTTTGCTCTTCATAACTCTTGCACCCAAAGCAGCCTTTACACTATCTAGGCATTTGAAACTTTCTGGTTTAAAATGTATGTTTAGAAAGATAAGATAAGCAAGGTCAATAAAATCAAAGCAACAAATAATTAGGATCTGCCTCAAAAGTCTTTTGCTAACATCCTAAATCTGTTAATTTCAATTCCTTAAGGGCTTTTAAAAGGAACACAATTTTGCTTTATTTAGCTGTACTATTTAGATAATAGTTAATATTATATTTCTCTCAGGATGCCTTGTAAAACTTCATTGCAATTATTGCTGCTCTAGGTTTTATTATGAAAAGGATATATTAGATTTATGAACCTATTGAGCTTTTCTTCCCAGACATTGAAACCATCTGAGAAGTCTGGTCACACTTCAGTGCTGATCATACCTGCTTTTAATGCTAATGGGACAGACAATTGGTGTATGCATTCAAGTGAACAAAATACCTCTTCGATCCAGAAGTAATGCATTGCTTTTTTAATATGTAAAGAGTTTCAATTCACAACAGTAATTACTGACAAATATGAGTGATGGTTATAATCCTTCTGAGGGCAGGTTTTATCCTAGTCTGCTGTGCCGAAGGTCCTGTAAATTGTGAAACTTTGGCATTCCAATTTGGTTTCAGCATGTGAGGTATGTTGTCACCAAAGGTTTATCTGAAATACATGCTTGTATTGTGGGTATTTTCTAGTAGGAATCATGTACTGTCCACTTATTCTAATAGTCTCAGGGTTCCTCTTTTTCCAGAGGAGTCCTGATAATATACAGAGGAAAATAATCTCTTTTGTTTTGGAATTACATACTGTAATACTTGGGAAATAAACATCTAACAATGCTTGTTAGGCACAGGCCAAACAGGACACATGGCATAGAGTATTTATATCATCTGCTGAGGTTGTACAGAGAACCTTACCATGAGCAATTCTGTTCATAAGAAAAAGTAGGAAAAGAAGCAAAAAAAGCCTGGAAGAAAAATATTGCTGAGATGAAGTGATAAGCTGCAAGGAGAGGGGGAAGCATGTGTCATATATGTATAGAAAGTCATTCCATCTTCTACCCACATAGGAGAAATTTTCCAGAGAAGAATGTCCATTAGATATTTTTCTGCCTTTCAAAAATCTGTCTGTTTCAACTATATCATTGTTGTCAGTTTGTTTATTG